TGAATACAGAATGTCCCTAGGGTAGAAATCTTACTTCTTATGCCTGTTACAATATAATTCCCAAATGTACCATCAAAAAAAAGAAAAAAAAAACAACTTATTTTTAAAAGTATACACACAAATATTTTTTCTAGGCTGGGAGCAGTGGCTCACGCCTGTAATCCCAGCACTTTGGGAGGCTGAGTCGGGTGGATCACTTGAGGTCAGGAGTTCAAGATCAGGCTGGCCAACATGGTGAAATCCTATCTCTACTAAAATACAAAAATTAGCCGGGTGTGATGGTGGGTGCCTGTAATCCCAGCTACTCAGGAAGCTGAGGCAGGAGAATCGCTTGAACCCAGGAGGCAGAGGTTGCAGTGAGCCGAGATAGTGCCATTGCACTATAGCCTGGGCAACAAGAGCAAAAATCCTTCTCAAAAAAAAAAAAACTTTTTTCCTATTCCTATCACCTCTAACCCACAATCTGGGTCACAACAACTGGTTATACTAACTGTTATGTGATCAGTTTCCCTTTTTTTTTCCCAGGCAGGCAGATCACAAGGTCAGGAGATCAAGACCTGGCCAACATGGTGAAACCCCATGTCTCTACTAAAAATACAAAAAAAATTAGCTGGGCATGGTGGTGTGTGCCTGTAATCCCAGCTACTCAAGAGGCTGAGGCAGGAGAATTGCTTGAACCCAGAAGGTGGAGGTTGCAATCTCTGCAGTGAGCAGAGATCATGCCACTGCACTCCAGCCCGGCAACACAGCAAGACTCCATCTCAAAAAAAAAAAATTATCAAAATTTACAGAACTTATAGACCATACACTGTGACATTCACAGTCAAGAGAAATGAAAACAGGCCGGGAGTGGTGGCTCACGCCTATATCCCAGCACTTTGGGAGGCTGAGGCAGGTGGATCACAAGGTCAAGAGATCAAGACCATCCTGGTCAACAAGGTGAAACTCCATCTCTACTAAAAATACAAAAATTAGCTGGGCATGGTGGTGCACGCCTGTAGTCCCAGCTACTCGGGAGGCTGAGGCAGGAGAATTGCTTGAACCCAGGAGGTGGAGGTTGCGGTGAGCCGAGATCGTGCCATTGCACTCCAGTCTGGGTAACAACAGTGAAATTCCGTCTCAAAAAAAAAAAATTAATAATAACGATAATTTAAAAAAAAAAGAGAAATGAAAACAAACATAAAGATACAATATTACATCATAACTGCACAAAATTACAGTACAAACTGTACAACTGTCACAATTTTGTAGCCACCTACTGCAGTGAGCTCAAGTGTTATGAGTAATGCTAGTCATCTCAAGAGCAGTTGTCTCTCCTGTAAGCTGCATATCATGGTAAAAGTGATCTCACGCAGTTTTCAGTAATGTCATACCATTAACCACGAATAGTATCATGGGACCCATAGGAGGTGCCACTCGTGATACTGGAAGCGCTCCCAAGAAGCAGAGAAAAGTCATGACATCAAAAGAAAAAGAAAAAGCTGAATTGCTTGATATGTAGTGTGGATTAAGATCTATAGCTGCAGTTGCCCAGTATGTCAAGATAAATTAATCCAGGTACACTGACAAAACCCATGTGAAAAAAAAGAGTGGGAGGTGAGCATGGTGGCTCATGCCTGCAGTCCCAGCACTTTGGAAGGCTGAGGCAGGCGGACTGTTTGAGCCCAGAAGTTTGAGACCAGCCTGGGCAACATAGCAAAACCCCGTTTCAATAAAAAAAAAAATTTTTTTTTTTGAGATGGGGTTTCGATCTTTTGCCCAGGCTGCAGTGAAGTGGCATGATCTTTGCTCACTGCAACCTCTGCCCTGCCAGGTTCAAGTGATTCTCCTGTTTCAGCCTCCTGAGTAGCTGGGATTATAAGCACCCACCACCATGCCCAGCTAATTTTTGTATTTTTAGTAGAAACAGGTTTTGCCATGTTGGCCAGGCTGGTCTTGAATTCCTGACCTCAGGTGTTCCACCTGCCTTAGCCTCCCAAAGTGGTAGGATTACAGGCGTGAGCCACCACACCCAGCCAAAAAAAAAAAAAAAGTTTTTTAAAGGCAAAAAAAAAAAAAAAGGAAATTCATGAAGTTCTGACTGCACCTGTGCCAGGAGGCATGAAAACCGTGCATGCTTTGCACAATACCTTGTTATCTTCATATTGAAAACACAGCTTTTATGTGGGTACAGGGTTGTTATTAGAAAGACCTACCTACAGATTCTAATAGGAGTCAAGAAAAAGCGAAGTCATGACATGACAACTTAAAACAAAAGGAAGGTGAAGGATCTAAAGTGGAAAATGTAATGCCAGCAGAGGATGGTTTGATAATTTTAGAAAGAGGTTTGGCTTAAAATATGTCAAAATAGCAGAAGGGGCAGCTTTTGCTAACCAAGAGGCAGCAGATGAATTCCCAGCTGCCATTAAGAAAATCACTGAGGATCCCAACACTTTGGGAGGCCGAGGTGGGCAGATCACAAGGTCAGGAGATCGAGACCATCCTGGCCAACATAGTTAAACCCCGTCTCTACTAAAATACAAAAATTAGCTGGGCGTGGTGGAGTGCACCTGCAGTCCCAGCTACTTGGGAGGCTGAGGCAGAAGAATTTCTTGAACCCGGGAGATGGAGGTTGCAGTGAGCCGAGATTGTGCCACTGCACTTCAGCCTGGTGCCTGGTGACAGAGCAAGACTCTGTCTCAAAAAAAAAGAAAAAAAGAAAATCATTGAGGCCAGGTGTGGTGGCTCACACCTATATTCCCAGCACTCTGGGAGGCCGAGGCAGGCAGATCACCTTAGATCAGGAATTAGTGACCAGCCTGGCCAGCATGGTAAAACCCCAGGTCTACTAAAAATACAAAATTAGGCTGAGTGGTGGCTCACACATGTAATCCCAACGCTATGGGAGGCCAAGGTGGGCAGATCACGAGATCAGGAGTTCATGACCAGCCTGGCCATGGTGAAACCCAATCTCTACTAAAAATACAAAAATTAGATGAGTATGGTGGTGGGCACCTGTAATCCCAGCTACTCAGGAGGCTAAGGCAGGAGAATTGCTTGAACCTGGAAGATGGAGGTTGCAGTGAGCCGAGATCATGACATTGCACTCCAGCCTGGGTGATGGAGACTCCATCTTGAAGAAAAAAGAAAATTAGACGGGCGTGGTGACACATGCCTGTAATCCCAGCTACTTGTACCTAGGAGGCGGAGTTTGTGGTGAGCTGAGATCATGCCACTGCACTCTGTTGGACAAGAAGAGCAAAATTCCACCTAAAAAAATAATAAAAGAAAATACGAGGCCAGGTGCGGTGGCTCATGCCTATAATCCCAGCACTTTGGGAGGCCGAGGCGGGTGGATCACGAGGTCAAAGAGATCGAGACCATCCTGGTCAACAAGGTGAAACCCTGTCTCTACTAAAAACACAAAAATTAGCTGGGCATGGTGGTGCACGCCTGTAGTCCCAACTACTTGGGAGGCCGAGGCAGGAGAATTGCTTGAACCCAGGAGGCGGAGGTTGTGGTGAGCCGAGATCGTGCCATTGCACTCCAGTCTGGGTAACAACAGCGAAACTCCATCTCAAAAAAAAAAAAAAAGAAAATACGCGTCCAAAAATATTAAAAGTAGGTACTGGCTGAGTAGCATTTTCTTAGACACTATAAACAGCCTCTTCTAACAAATTTTAGTACTGTCTGTGCCTCACATTTAAGTAGTTGATAATAGTCAACGTTTAGTATTGTCCTCTATTTGCTAAATCCCATCCCCCAACTAAACCTCAAGAACTGTCACACTTTTGTGTCCAATATATTACCTAGAATGATAAGTGTTATGAAGGTAGTAGATACTTCAGAAGTTCCTCCTGAACTTTCTAGTTAATAGAGTAACCTCCCATACCTGACAAAGATCCAGAGAATTCACTCTGCTACTTCACCTTCAATACCAGTGACTCACCGTGCATAATCCTGGGGAGTGACCAGAAACTTCTCTTTCATCTGGACCTCAGCTTTGTTCTCCCACCAGAATTTGTTGGTCGCCTTCTTATGCTCTGGGCTGAAAATGGAGCGGATAAGCAATCTCAGCTATAGGTTATAAAATATTACTCAGATATTAAACATTAGGTTTGTAGTGCAAACTGACATCTGAGATTCTACCTGGGGCAGGGCTGAGAGAGGAACACTGTTACCAGTCTCCAAGATCTCATCTCTTTTCTTCCCATAAAATTGTGAGAATCCAAGGGGAAGTTAGGGGCGGTGACCAAGCTGCATTTTGCAGCTAGACCACCAGAACCACTCGGGACCGTGGCAACATACGATCCCTACCCCAACAAGGCTGGCAACTCCTATGAAGTGACTCAATCCATCCACCCTGAACAAATCACAAAAGCGTCCTCCCGTATACGCAGGTACGCGTCTGTGCTGAAGGAGGCTCCCAGCCCGGCTCTCACCTGGCCAGATGCTCCAGCAGCCCCCCGTGCAGCACCGTCAGGTTTCCATGGCTCAGGTGTTCCCGCACCTCGCAGCCGCAGCACAGGCACCAGCAGCATCGCTCGTGTTCCGGCACATAGCGCTCCACCTGAGCGGCGCGGATGGCCTTGCGGGCCGCCTCCACCTGCGGCGAAGAGGCCAAGTAGAACCCTGAGGAGGACCCCCAAATCACACCCGCTCTGGCCTTCACTGACCTGCCCCGCACTCCCAGCCCATCTCTAGCCTTGCCTCCGCACCCGGGGCAGGAGCCTTTCCAAAGCCTCCTTCAGCTGCCGCTGGTGCTTGCGGCTGTAGACGTGCCCGCGACCACAGAAGAAAGTCTGGCGGCACAGGGGGCACCGCTGCGCTGGCGCCATAGGCTGGGAACCGGGTATCTCCACCACCAGCAGCAGATCCCTCGCCATCCGGTGGCCCCTGACCCCTGACCCCTCGAGGCGGGGCTAACCCAGCGGCTCCCGCGATCCCCAGCGGCCGGCAGGCGTCACTGCAAGCCCTTCTGCGGCTGCGCAGACCCTTTGCAGCGCCCCCCCCACCCCCCGCCCCCAGTCCGGCCGAGGCCCCAACGTCCCAGAGGCAGTCGGGCGGGTTAAGCAAAAGGTCGGCGCCGCCCCGCAGACGTGCGGCCACACTGGACCCCAGCAACGTGAAGCTCGCAGGCCACCCGCCACTCTGAGCATTGACCAGGACCTGTAGTAGACATGGTAACGTGACCACAGCCTTACGTTAATCATTTCACCGAGGTTGTGTGGTTTACTATTACTATTATTAGCGCATTTTTAAGCGGGAAACCTGAGGCCTGTCAAGGTAAGGGACATTGAGGAGGGTTGCACCTGAGCCCTGGCGCCCATCAGTACGGCAGCTGGAGGAGAACGCCTGCTGGAGGGACCACGAACTAAACCCAATCACAGTCGCCCCCACAGGGTGTGCTCGCTGCGGCCCCTGTAAAGCTATAAGGGAAGCTACACTGCGTGCAGCGTCGTTGCTGAGGGATCGCACACTTCCCGTAGATTGTGTTGCTAGTTCTGGTACATGGCCTGGATGAGCTGCTGTCTGTAGGGCCTACACAGGGTCAGCGTTACAGAATTCAGCCCCAGCGTAGCTACTTCCCTCTTCAGATCTTCACTTCCTGTTGGAACTTCCCTCTAGACTCTAGCCTCTGCCAGAAATAATTCATTTTGAATACCCTTATAACACTCAATTCCTTGATCTCCCATCATTCCCTTGGCAGGGTCAGTCCTGGACCTTGTCCCCCCCAAATTTCTCCTTCTCTGATTCCAGACTCTGAAGTTCGGCTCTGCTTAACCTTGTGGCCTTACCGTCAGCCTAGTGTTTGACTGCAAGGAGACCTCTCTTCCTGAAGACGCCTCTTTTCATCCATTCACTCTGGAAATGTTTCAACGTTTGCCTGGTTGATGCTTTGCTATCCACCTTTTCAAAGTGTGCTTCCCCGCTCCCAGGGCAACTTCTTACTTCACTTGACCTTCCAAGACCTCTCATTCTATCAAACCCCAATTTTGGATCAACCCAGGCATGCTTCTCTTATGTGTGCCAAAGCTGGTCATAGTAGTCTACACTACTATCTGTTTCAACTTCTAGTAACTTGTAAGCCTTCAGCAGTTTTGCTTATGAAACTGCTTCACTAATGTTCTCCAGCTACTTGACAGGCTGAGGCAGTAGAACTGCTTGAACCCAGGAGACAGGTGTTGCAGTGAGCTGAGATTGTGCCACTGCACTCCAGCCTGGGTGACACAGCAAGACTCCGTCTCAAAAAAACAAACAGGCTGGGCTAAGTGGCTCCCACCTGTAATCCCAGCACTTTAGGAGGTTGAGGTGGTCAGATCACCTGAGGTCAGATTTTGAGACCAGCCTGGCTGACATGGTGAAACCCTGTCTCTACTAAAAATACAAACATTAGCTGGGTGCATTGGCAGGTGCCTGTAATCCCAGCTACTCGAGACGTTGAGGCAGGAAAATCCCTAGAACTTGGGAGGCAGAGGTTGTAGTGAGCCGAAATTGTGCCACTGCACTCTAGCCTGGGCGACAGAGTGAGAGACTCTATCTCAAAAAATAAACAGATCCAGCTGGCCATTCGGGGCAATGAGCTTTCCATCCCAGAACCATGGCCCAATTTATCCGTAACCTTGTGGAGAAGACCCTGGTGCTTGTGAATTCAGCTGTGACTTATTGGAAGTCTCAATTAGCCACATTTTGGTACTACACCAAGGTTGAGTTGATTTCTCCCACTCCTGCTGAGATCCCAAGAGCTATTCAGAGTCTGAAAAAAAATAGTCAAGAGTGCTTAGACTGGTAGCTTCAAACAACTCATGGTTAAGGAAGCTGTGCTGATGGTTTGGTGGCCACTGAGGTGTTGATGTGGTTTTATGTCGGAGAGATCATAGGCAAGCGTGGCATCATTGGCTATGATGTTTGAAGACCAATCTTTTTAACATCTGATTAAATTTGATTTATTATTTGAGTGTTGTTGGACCACGTGTGATCAGACTGCTATCTGAATAAAATAAGATTTGTCAAAAAAATAAAAAATTTAAAAAACAAAACAAACAAAAAGCAAAAATTAGCTGGTCCTGGTGGCATGTGCCTGTAGTCCCAGCTACTTAGGGGGCTGAGACAGGAGGATCACTTGAGCCTGGGAGGTTGAGGCTGTAGCAACGAGCTGTGTTTGTGCCACTGCACCCTAGCCTGGACAACAAAATGAGACTCTGTCTCAAAAAAAAAAGAGCCTGGAGGTTTGGGTTTTGTTTTTTGTTTTGTTTTGTTCTTAATATGGATTCTCGTTCTGTCATCCAGGCTGAAGTGCAGTGGCTTGATCTTGGCTCAATGCAACCTCTACCTCCTTGGCTCAAGGGATTCTCCTGTCTCAGCCTCCCAAGTAGCTGGGATACAGGCGTATGCCACCACGCCGGGCTAAGTTTTGTATTTTTAGTAGAGACAGGGTTTTGCCATGTCAGTCAGGCTGGTCTTAAACTCCTGACCTAGGTGATCCAGCTGCCTTGGCCTCCCAAAGTCCTGGGATTGCAGGTGTAAACCACTGTGCCTGGCCTGGGGTGAGTTATTCTTGACACTCCCTTTTACTCAACCCCACCCCAACATGTAAAGTTGTCTTAGTCATTGGACTTCTAATATGTTTAAAGTCTGTCCCCATTTTTTTTTTAACAGTCTTGCCGCCAGGCGCGGTGGCTCACGCCTGCAATCCCAGCACTTTGGGAGGCTGAGGTGGGTGGATCACAAGGTCAGGAGTTCAAGACCAGCCTGTCCAAAATGGTGAAACCCCATCTCTCTAAAAAAAAGAAAAAAGAAACAGGTTTTGCCATGTTGCCCAGGATGGAGTGCAGTGGTTGTTCACAGGTGCCAACCTACTACTGATCAGCATGGGAGCTTTGGGGTTTTTAAAACAATTTTTTAAGCCAGTCAAATTTAGCAGTGGGGGGGTTGTATACCAACTTTAGTGACACTAGTGTTATTAAATTCTAATAACCCACTACCATCAGACCAGCCCAACATGAGAGTTTGGACCTGCTCCATTTCCGACCTGGGCTGCTTCACCCCTCCTTAGGGGTTGTCACCTGGAGGGGTGACCTGGATGGTCCCCTGTCCTGGGAGGGTACCATATTGATACTGAGCTTAGTGCAAACACCCAAACTACATAATGCATTACAGTCTAGAATTCCTGGGCTCAAGGCATCCTCCCATCTGAGCCTCCTGAGTAGCAACAACCATAGCATGTGCCACTGCACCCAGCTGTCTTTTTTTTTTTTTTTTTACTTTTGGTGGACAACGAGGTCTCACTATATTGCCCAGGCAGGCCTCTAACTCCTGGGCTCAAGCTATCCTCACCCCTCTGCCTCCCTAACAGCTGGGATTACAGGGCATGAGCCACAGCACCTGGCTTTTATTTTTTTCTTAAGATGGAGTCTCGCTCAGTAGTCCAGTCTGGAGTGCAGTAGTGCAATGTCGGCTCACTGCCACCACCATCTCCCACGTTCAAGTGATTCTTCTATCTCAGCCTCCCGAGTAGCTGAGATTACAGGCACCTGCCATCATGCCAGGCTAATTTTTGTATTTTAGTAAAGGTGGGGGTTTCACCAGGTTGGCCAGGCTGGTCTTGAACTCCTGACCTCAGGTGATCTGCCCACCTCGGCCTCCCGAAGTGCTAGGATTACAGGCATGAGCCACTATACCTGGCCTCCTTTTAAAAAAAAAAATACAATTTCTATATAGATATATTTTATAGAGACAAGGTCTTGCTATGTTGCCCTTGAACTCCTGGGCTCAGGGGATCCTCCGGCTTCCCAAAGTGCTGGGATTACACCACACCCAGCCTATCTTACATTCTTTTAAACTCAGTGCATACCTCATTTCAATTCTCCTCTCTTGCTCAGATTCATGTAAAATCATTCTAACTGGTTTCCAAGTGTCTGCTCTATTCTGCTCCATACCTCTTCCTTACAGTAGTCTTAAGAAAGTCTCCATAATGACTTTTCTAATTAATACCTCTAATTTCAGGACAAATCTTAACTTCCTCAACAAGCCATTCAAAGCCTTTTACGTGATTCCCAACTTCTTTGGGTCTCCCCTCCCTCTCCACTGCCCGACTTGAATCCCTCCTCCAGGCAATCCCAATAGTTCTGTTCCTCCTATGAACTACAGCATCTTCAGCTCCTCTGCCTGGAAGTTACATCTTTCCAATCCTATCTCACATTATAAAATTTTCTATTATATAAGGCTCTGAAATATGAACTAGAAGTAATTTCAGTGAAGCTGATGATTTTATCTGGCATATGGTAAGCTCTGAATCAATGTTTATTGAAAGAATAAAATGTCACCCCTTTGTGAAGCCTTCCAGAGTTGTCCCTGAAGGATTAATTTCTCAACTCCAAGGTCCTTTGCTCATCCTGTCATCGTTTTTGTCTAGTAATCAGTTGAAAACCAATCAGGGAAAAGCCCAAGTGCAGGGATTGTGTTTGATTCATGCCTGACTCTTAATTAACAGATGGTGGTCCTCTATATATCCTCGTCAAATTAAGTAAAAACCGTCAGAACTCAGGCACCCTGAGGTTAAGATGCCCTTTAGTGGTGGGAGTAGTGTATGCAAGGAGCCCAGGGAGCATGAAGCTAACAGCCTGCTAATTAGTAGTATCAAGCTACCAAATGGGATCATGGGTAACTTGAAAATTCCTTAAAAATTGTTAAAAATTTCCGAAGCAGCAGCTTCTCTACTGCTTCAGGAATCTCCGCTGGTTCAGCCCACCTGCCTCCACTTCTGTCTCCACCATGTCCATCAGGGTGACCCAGAAGTCCTACAAGGTGTTCACCTCTAGCCTCCCGGCCTTCAGCAGCCACTCCTACACTAGTGGGCCTGGTGCCTGCATCAGCTCCTCGAGCTTCTTCCAAGTGGGCAGCAGCAGCTTCCAGGGTGGCCTGGGTGCAGGCTATGGTGGGGCCAGCGGCATGGGCATGGGAGGCATCACTGCTGTCACGGTCAACTAGAGCCTGCTGAGCCCCCTTAACCTGGAAGTGGACCCCAACATCCAGACCAGGCGCACTCAGGAGGAGCACATCAAGACCCTCAACAAGTTTGCCTCCTTCATCAACAAGTTTCCTGGAGCAGCAGAACAAGACGCTGGAGACCAAGTGGAGCCTCCTGCAGCAGCAGAAGACAGCTCGGAGCAACATGGACAACATGTTTGAGAGCTACATCAACAACCTTAGGTGGCAGCTGGAGATTCTGCGCCAGGAGAAGCTGAAGCTGGAGACTGAGCTTGGCAACATGCAGGAGCTGGTGGAGGACTTCAAAAACAAGTATAAGGATGAGATCAATAAGCATACAGAGATGGAGAATGAATTTGTCTTCTCAAGAAGGATGTGGATGAAGCTTACGTGAACAAGGTAGAGCTGGAGTCTCGCCCGGAAAGGCTGACTGACAGGATCAACTTCTCAGGCAGCTGTATAAAGAGGAGATCCAGGAGCTGAAGTCCCAGATCTCTGACATGTCTGTGGTGCTGTCCATGGACAACAGTGCTCCCTGGACTGAGGCGGACAGCATATACTAGATTAAGTATGAGGAGCTGCAGACACAGGCTGGGAAGCACGGGGATGACCTGTGGCATACAAAGACTGAGATCTCTGAGATGAACCAGAACATTAGCTGGCTCCAGGCTGAGATTGAGGGCCTCAAAGGTAAGAGGGCTTCCCTGGAGGCTGCCATCACAGATGCTGAGCAGTGCAAGGAGCTGGCCATTATGGGTGGTCGTGCCAAGCAAGAGGAGCTGGAGGCCGTCCTACAGCAAGCCAAGCAGGACATGGCGCTGCAGCTGCATGAGTACCAGGAGCTGATGAATGTCAAGCTGGCCTTGGACATCAAGACTGCCACCTACCATAAGCTGCTGGAAGGCTAGGAAACCTGGCTGACATCTGAGATGCAGAACATGGGTATCCATACAAAGACCACCAGTGGCTATGCAGGTGGTCTGAGCTGGGCCTATGGGGGCCTCACACGCCCCAGCCTCAGCTATGGCCTGGGCTCCAGCTTTGGCTCTGGCACAGGCTCCAGCTTCTTCAGCCGCACCAGCACCACCAAGGCCGTGGAGCATCACCAAGGCCATGGTTGTGAAGAAGATTGAGACCTGCCATGGGAGGCTGGTGTCCGAGTCCTCTGACGTCCTGCTGGAGTGAACAGCTGCGGCAGCCCCTCCCAGCCTGCCCCTCCTGAGGCTGCCCCAGAGCCCGGGAGGGAGGCCCCTGTGTAGGGAGCACAGGGAACAGGTGACCCACCTGAGGCTCAGCCCTACCCCTCAGCTCACTTTCGGGAGTTTACTGCTGGGGAAGCCCTTGCCCAGGCCTCCAGCTGCAAAACAATTCAATTGCTTTTTTTTTGGTCCAAAATGAAACCTCAGCTAGCTCTGAAAAAAAAAATTGTTAAAAATTTCCTTTATTAAAAATTGTAGGCCAGATGCGGTGGTTCATGCCTGTAATCCTAGCACTATGGGAGGCCGTGGTGGGTGGATCACTTGAGGTCAGAAGATCGAGACCAGCCTGGCCAACATGGCAAAACCTGGTCTCTACTAAAAATACAAAAATTAGCTGGGTGTGTTGGTGCTCACCTGTAGTGCCAGCTACTTGGAGGCTGAAGCATGAGAACTGCTTAAACCTGGAAGGTGGAGGTTGCAGTGAGCCAAGATTGTAGCACTGTACTCCAGCCTGGGTGGCAGAGCGACACCCTGTCTAAAAAAAAAAAAAAAAAGGCATTAGCTGGGCATGGTGGTGCATGCCTGTAGTCCCAGCTACTCAGGAGGCTGAGGCAGGAGAATTGCTTGAACCCAGGAGGCGGAGGTTGTGGTGAGCCGAGATCGCGCCATTGCACTCCAGCCTGGGTACAAAACTCAGTCTCAAAAAAAAAAAAAAAAAAAAAAAAAAAATTGTAGGCCAGACACGGTGGCTCACACTTGTAATCCCAGTGGGCAAATTGCTTGAGCTCAGGAGTTTGAGACAAGCCTGGGCAACATGACGAAACCTAGTCTCTACTAAAAAAAAGAAAGAAAAAAAATTTAGCCAGGCCTGATGGCACATGTCTTTGGTCCCAGCTACGAGGGAGGCTGAGACAAGATGATTGCTTGAGCCTGGGAGGCAGAGGTTGTAGTGAGCTGAGATCTTGCCACTGCATTCCAGCCTGGGGAATAGAGGGAGACTCAGTTTCAAAAAAAAAAGAAAAATTTTAAAAAGCAATTTCTTGTTGTAAAATACAAAAACTGTACAGAGGCTCAAATAAATGATTGCCCCATTTATGTTGCCTACCCAGTCCTCTAAGATGGCCATTGCTGGGTTTTTTTTTTTTTTGGAGGGGGGCCATTGCTATTGACACCTATATTCTTCAACATGTTTTCTGTGTTTAGACTTCACATTTATATATATGAACATAGGCTGGGTGCAGTGGCTCAAGCCTGTAATCCCAGCACTTTGGGAGGCCAAGGTGGGTGGATCACACAAGGTCAAGAGATCGAGATCATCCTGGTCAACATGGTAAAACCCCGTCTCTACTAAAAATACAAAAAATTAGCTGGGCATGGTGGCATGTGCCTGTAATCCCAGCTACTCAGGAGGCTGAGGCAGGAGAATTGCCTGAACCCAGGAGGCGGAGGTTGTGGTGAGCCGAGATCACGCCATTGCACTCCAGCCTGGGTAACAAGAGCAAAACTCTGTCTCGAAAATAAAATAAAATAAAAATATATATATGAACATAATTTCTGCCATATTCAGAATAATTTTGAACACTGTTCTGCTACTCTTTAACTCCCCAAAATGTACTGTGGATATCTTTCTATGTCAGTACATAGAGCATGATATTAAGTGCTATCTATATACTGATGATTCTCAGTGTATAGATAGCACTTCTTCAGCTCAGACTTCTCTTCTGAACTCCAGACATATACTTGACACTGACATAACCACCCTGATGTCTCACAGATTCCTTTTTTTTTTTTCCCCCCCAAGACAGAGTCTTGCTCTGTCACCCAGGCTGGAGTGCAGTGGCACAATCTCGGCTCACTGCAACTTCTGCCTCCTAGGTTCAAGCGATTCTCCTGTCTCAGCCTCTTGAGTAGCTGGATTACAAGCACCTGCCACCATGCCCAACTAATTTTTGTATTTTTAGTAGAGAATGAGGTTTCACCATGTTGGCTAGGCTGGTCTCAAACTCCTGACCTCAAGTGATCCTTCCACCTCAGCCTCCCAAAGTGCTAGGATTACAGGTGTGAGCCACGGTGCCTGACCTCACAGTTACCTTTTTTTAAATTGGAGACAGGATCATACTCTGTCACTACTCAGGCTGGAGTGCAGTGGCACAATTATGACTCACTGCAGCCTTGCCTCCCCGGGCTCAAGCAATCTTCCCACCTTAACCTCCCAAGTAACTGGGACCACAGGCACACACCACCACCCACAGCTATTTTTTTATTTTTTTTTAGAGAGGAGGTCTCACCATGTTGCCCATGCTGGTTTCCCAGTCCTAGGCTCAAGTGACCCACCCACCTGCCTCCCCAAGTGCTGGGATTACAAGGTGTGAGCCATTGTGCCTGGCCTTGTCTCACAGAAACTTAATACAGAATGGCTTAAACCTGCTACTCCTGCAGGCTTCCTCTCACCATTCACCTATTTGCTGCAACCAAAAACGTCAGAGTCATTCTTGTCTTCTCTTCCTGCAATCAATCCTATTGACTTGTTTTTTCTACCTCTGCGATATACCATCAAATTGTTCTTCTGTCTTCATCTCTACTGCCACTAATACTCCATCTGGCCTGATTTACCGCAGTCACCTCCTCATGGGTCTTCCCATGTTGGCTTCCCCCGGTCAAGCCGCTTTCGTGAGTGGCTAATTGTCATTAACAACAATTACAACAGCCGGGCACGGTGGCTCAAGCCTGTAATCCCAGCACTTTGGGAGGCCAAAGTGGGTGGATCACAAGGTCAAGAGATTGAGACCATCCTGGTCAACATGGTGAAACCCCGTCTCTACTAAAAATACAAAAAATTAGCTGGGCATGGGGGCGTGTGCCTGTAATCCCAGCTACTCAGGAGGCTGAGGCGGGAGAATTGCCCGAACCCAGGAGGCGGAGGTTGCAGTGATCCGAGATCACGCCATTGCACTCCAGCCTGGGTAACAAGAGCAAAACTCCGTCTCAAAACAACAACAACAACAACAACAACAAACAGGTTATGTCGGTTACTTCAATTACTTTCTACTGTACATGAAAAAAATCCAAATCCCCTGTCATCGCCTAGAAAAGCATACCTGGTCTAGTCCCTGCCCCTCTCCCAGTTTCACCTGGGATCTTTCTGCCCTTGTTTAGTGTATTCTGTCTTCCAGAGTTTCATCCACATTTTCTCAAAAGGCCAAGATGTGTCTACTTCCAGGGCTTTGTCCAGTCCAATGCCTCTATTAGAATGCTTTTCCTTTCCATTCTTCAGCCTGGCTAACTTCTCCCCTTACTACACATCGTGGTTAAAATGTCACTTTTTTTGAGTTGGAGTCTTGCTCTGTCACCCAGGCTGGAGTGCAGTGGCACGATCTCAGCTCAATTCAACTTCCGCCTCCGGGGTTCAAGCAATTCTCCTGCCTCAGCATCCCGAGTAGTTGGGATCACAGGCGCCTGCCATCATGCCTGGCTAATTTTTATGTTTTTAGTAGATACAGGGTTCTACCATGTTGATCAGGCTGGTCTTGAACTCTTGACCTCAGGTGATGCACCCGCCTTGGCCTCCGAAAGTCCTGGGATTACAGGTGTGAGCCACCGTGCCCAGCCTAAAATGTCACTTGCTGAGAAAAGTTCCTCTCTGATCTCCCCTCCAATCTAACTTAGATACCGATATTGCTTTCTCTCACAATAACCAAATCCTTTTTTTTTGTTTTTGAGACAGAGCCTCACTGTCACCCAGGCTGGAGTGCAATGGCATCATCTCGGCTCACTGTAACCTCCACCTCCCAGGTTCAAGCAATTCTCCTGCCTCAGTCTCCTGAGTAGCTGGGATTACAGGCACCCGCCATCATGCCCGGCTAATTTATGTATTTTTGCAGAGATGGAGTTTTACCATGTTGGTCAGGCTGGTCTTGAACTTCGGACCTGAGGTAATCTGTCTGCTTCAGCCTCCCAAAGTGCTGGGATTACAGGTGTGAGCCACCAAGACCAGCCAATAACCCAATCTTTACCTAATATTTATTACCATTAGTGTTTTGGTTTAGTACCTTTTCATCTAGACTGAAAACTGTGAGGAACCATTTGGGTTTCTTTGCTGTATCCCTAACACCTGGCAAGGTCCTAGTATAGTGAAAATGCTTAACACATAAGTGCTTAAGTCCAGGCGCGATGGCTCACCCTTGTAATCCCAATAGTTTGAGAGGCTGAGGTGGGTAGACTGCTTGACCTCAGGAGTACAAGACCAGCCTGGGCAACATGGTGAAACCCCACCTCTACTAAAAATACAAAAATTAGCAAGATGTGATGGCATGTACTTGTGGTCCCAGCTACTTAGGGGGCTGAGGTGGGAGAATCGCTTGAACCTGGGAGGTAGAGATTGCGCTGAGCCAGGATTGCAATTGTCTCAAAAAAAAAAAAAAAAAAAGATAATGCCTGTAATCCCAGCACTTTGGGAGGCCAAGACAGGCAGATCATGAGGTCAAGAGTTCGAGACCAGCCTGACCAACAAGGTGAAACCCCATCTCTACTAAAAATACAGAAATTAGCTGGGTGTGGTAGTGCATACACCTGTAATCCCAGCTACTTGGGAGGCTGAGGAAGGAGAATCACAAAAAAAAAAAAAAAAAAAATTTTATTCGTAGATAAGTGAAAAGTAGGTGCAAGTATAGGAGTTTATTACAGACCAAAGTGGGCAAAGGCAGATTTTTCTCAGTCCCTTTTTCCCCAAAGGCTGTATTTTGTTTTGTACTTTCCTGATTTGTTGCATTTTGGATCCACTTGCAACTTAAACCTGATGTTGGCCAGGTGTGGTGGCTCAGGCTTGTAATCTAGCACTATGGGAGGCCAAGGCAGGTGGACTGCCAGGGCTCAGAAGTTTGAGACCAGCCTGGGCCATGTGATGAAACCCTGTCTCTACTAAAATACAAAAGCTAGCCAGGTGTGGTGGTGCACACCTGTAGTCCCAGCTACTGGGAGGCTGAGGCAGGACAATCACTTGAACCTGGGAGGCAGAAGTTGCAGTGAGTTGAGATGGCTCCTTACGCTCCAGCCTGGGCAACAGAGTAAGACTCCATCTCAAAAAACAAAAGCAAAAAACCCCCTGATGTTAACAAGAATGTGGACATCGATGAGGTTGTATACAAAGTGCAGATGAGGTGGACAAATTGAAGCCAAATCAGATTTTTTTTGTTTTTTTTTTTTGAGACAGAGTTTCGCTCTTGCTACCCAGGCTGGAGTGCAATGGCACGATCTCCGCTCACCGCAACCTCCGCCTCCTGGGTTCAGGCAATTCTCCTGCCTCAGCCTCCTGAGTAGCTGGGATTATAGGCACGCACCACCATGCCCAGCTAATTTTTTGTATTTTTAGTAGAGACGGGGTTTCACCATGTTGACCAGGATGGTCTCGATCTCGACCTTGTGATCCACCCGCCTCAGCCTCCCAAGGTGCTGGGATTACAGGCATGAACCACCGCGCCTGGCCCCTCAGATTTGTATTTTTAGTAGAGACAGGGGTTTACCATGTTGGTCAGGCTGGTCTCAAACTCTTGACCTCAGGTGATCCACACACCTCAGCCTCCCAAAGTGCTGGGATTATAGGTGTGAGCCACTGTGCCCAGCCAATATTATCTTCATAACCTAGAAAAATGGAAATGGTTCCCAGATGCTTTAGAAGGCAGCACATTTTCCTCCTTTGAGGCAAGAAAAGTACAGACTCCCTTTGCTGCACAGCAGGCACCTGCCCCATTGCCTCAGAGCATCTGTCTGTCAGCTGAAGGCATCCCATCTTCAACCTTGGAGTTGAACTCCACCTCCACCCTTAACCCCATCCTAAGAGACCCCACCTCCACAGACACACACACATACACACACACACAGAAGGCTGCTGAGGGTAAATTTAATAAAGTATTAGCTGGCTCTCACTTCTTGGGGTTAGAGGTCAAAGAGAAAGGGCATCACATCTGTAAGAAAAGGAGAGAGTTCAGGAGTTTATGCTTCACAGTTGCTGTTTCCTAGGCCTGGGATGCTCTCATCGCAGGTGATCTGCTTCTCTCACTCATGGCTCAAATGCCACCTCTTCTCTGAAGCCTCCCTGCACTGCTCCAGGGAAAGTGTAAGTCCTCTTTGCACATAACCTCTATTACTGTACTTCTCACATTGTGTGCTCACTATTGTCTAGTCTGCTAGGCTTGGTAAGGCCAGTTGCACCTTAGTTGTTTGCCCATGGATTCCTGCCACATTACCTCCCACACTGGTGGGGGAGGTCTCATCTCAGGCAGGCATCACCTGAGGGTCTCAGAGCACTGCTAATCTATTTCTTTTTTTTTTTTTTTGAGACAGTCTCACTCTGTTGCCCAGGTTGGAGTGGAGTGACGCAATCTCAGCTCACTGCAACCTCCACCTGCGAGGTTCAAGCAATTCTCCTGCCTCAGCCTCCCAAGTAGCTGGGAATAACAGTGTGCACCACCATGCCCAGCTAATTTTTTGTATTTTTAGTAGAGATGGAGTTTTACCATGCTGGCCAGGCGTTTTACCAAACTCCTGGCCTCAGGTGATCCATCCACCTCGGCCTCCCAAAGTGGTGGAATTACAGGCGTGAGCCACTGCACCCCACCTTATCTGTTTTCTACAGAAGATGCCCCCCCACGGTGTGACCCAGGCTTCCACACTCAGCTTTGGGTCAGGAACTTCAGGTCTCCTCCCCTTGGGCCCATGCACGACAAGGCTTCACACCTGGCTGGCTCATGCACTGTTGGATACTTTCCAGCCGAGTGGAAGCTAAGGCTCGGGCCTCCTCCTCAAAGCGGCGGTGTCCCTCCTCAGTCAACTTCCATAGGCAAGATCGAGGCCGTGCGCTGGCCCCACCCTGCACGCTGCTGACAGGCACTTTCTCAAAGCTGTCTCGGAAACAGAGATTGTGACGGACGGTATTCTTCCAGCCTTCTGGGGCTGTCCGGAAAAAGGGGAAGTGCTTTCTGTGGACAGGGAGGAGAGGTAAGGAAAGGCATGGTATGTTTGGGGAATGCCCTTTTCTGGAGAATGTTCTACCCAGGGGCAAGGGGCCTCAGCCCTTCTCTCCAGGGGGATAGTAGCAAGTTGGCCTGGAGCTGCTCTTTGCTGACTGAGCACATGGCAAAGGATCCACATGAGGCATGGCTCACCTCAGCCCTCCCTCTGAGGGCCCAGGGCTTAGACCACAGCATGAACAAAACAGAATCAGGCCAAGCAGCTCCTGTAAGAGGAATCTTGGTTGAGGATGGACCACTTGAGGATTTGTATCCTGAGACGTGAGGCACTTCTCCTAACACTGGGAAAGGGCCCAAGAAACTCCCACCCTCATACTCCTGTGCACAGAACTATCTGAGCTAAATAGAAAACCCTTCTCAGCTAAGCTCCCTGGCCCCTGGGGGTGCAGGGAGCTGTGCCAGGCAGTCCAGTTCTAGCAGAGACAGGTGGGGAACTGTTGGGGAAACCTGACTTTAGACTGCCTGATCAGAGGGATGGTGAGGAAACCGTTACTTGACCCAGGTGAATGTATATCTTAAAAGAGAACTATACCCAAAGAGCACTGAAAACTAATTAAAAAAAAAAAAGGGAGGCCGGGCGCGGTGGCTCAAGCCTGTAATCCCAGCACTTTGGGAGGCCGAGGCGGGTGGATCACGAGGTCAAGAGATCAAGACCATCCTGGTCAACATGGTGAAACCCCCGTCTCTACTAAAAATACAAAAAATTAGCTGGGCACAGTGGCGCGTGCCTGTAATCCCAGCTACTCAGGAGGCTGAGGCAGAATTGCTTGAACCCAGGAGGTGGAGGTTGCGGTGAGCCGAGATCGCGCCATTACACTCCAGCCTGGGTAACAAGAGCGAAACTCCGTCTGAAAAAAAAAAAAAAAGGAGAACAAAAAAAAGAACTAAAGCCATAAAAGGTTGGAGGATTTTTTAGACGTGAAAGGGGGTGGGAATGGATATGTTCCTGTACATATGTGGGGACAAATGAGCCTGGGAAAAGGGAACTGGGAACATGCTCCTCCTCTCAGACCCAGATAGGGAACCCAGAGCCTGGGATGGATTGGAAGGCATCAGCCTGGGGCCCTGGCCCCCACTTCCCCCTCCTCACAGGGCCCTTGGCACATACCGGGTGAAACTGTAGATCTGTTGCACGTTGAGGCCACAGGGGGAACTGTTTCTTAATGCCAGGGCAATTAGGTGGAAGTAATTGAGAGGGGGCCGGGACCAGAGCCTCCCCGCCTGGCTGCTGGCTTGCCGAAGCCTCCGACTCTGGAGGGGGGCCTTTTTGTGAGGGGATGGGAGAGCCACAGAGGAGCTGTCTTCCTGGTCCTCAGCCTCCTCCTCTTCTGTGAGCTAGAGGAGCACAGAGTAGGAACTGGTCCTGACTCCTCGGCCTCTACTCCAGGGTGCAGTGGCAGGAAGTGGGGTGGTCTAGGGCCACCATCTGGGCTTCTCCCCAACCCAAGCATGTAGGTAGTTTTTGAACCCATTCACCTTATGCTATGGCTTAGAGAGTGGAACTGTGATGGCTCTTCCCCTTACCTACTGCCCCAGTCCGGCTCCCACCCCCAGAAATCCATACCTCCCAGATGCTGGGGGAAAAGGCAAACCGCTTCTGAGGGGGCGACCACTCGCTGGAGGACCGGGACAGCGATTCCGCCCCTGTGGGCTCTGAGCAGCTGGCATCTTCCTCCTTCTGGAATGGCTGAGAGGAGGGGAGCGTGCTTGTCAGATCCTCCTTCTTCATAAGTCCTGGGACCTCCAGCTTTCCAGGGGGATACACGATATTAGGGTTTACCCACATCCACAGGTTGGGCTCATAATCTGGACCTATGCAGAACAAAAGGAGATTGTATGCCACAGCCCACTGGCTTTGGGTGCCCCCAGTCTCCAGCCCAGGCCACAGGAACACATCAGAGAACTCAATACTTACCATCCTTATCAGGGTTGGTTTTTTTCTCTAGGGGTAATTTTGGTGGCTTAACAATTCGGAGTTTATACCTGGCAACTGGCAAAAACAAAGAGAAAGTCAAAACATCCTAGGATATCCCTTTGTGACCCTGGGATTCTAGACCTTAAGGCTTCTCTGGAAGAAGGTTGTGGACCCTGCCTGGGGAGTTTATATCACATTCTACTGGTTTTCCCTTTACCTCTCTGACGTTCTCATTCCCCTCTGCATTCGTTTCTTCTCACTCTATATATACCATCCCTGAATGATCTCATGCATGCCTGTGGCTTCAGTTAACACCTATAAAAAAATGTAGAGCTCTCAAATTTTCACCTCTAGCCTAGCCTTCTGTGCTAGCTTTTAAGGAGAACTACCTACTGGATATCTTTACTTGGGTAGCCCACAGGCACTTCAAACTTGTTTCTAAAACTGAATTCCATCTTCTTGCTCTTCCTTCTGTATTCTTGTTTTCTTTTGAGACAGAGTCTCACTGTCGCACAGGCTGGAATGCAGTGGTGTGCTCAAGAGATCCTCCCACCTCAGCCTCCCAAATAGCTGGGACTACAGGTGCATACCACTATGTCCAGCTAATCTTTGTATTTTTTGTAGAGATGAGGGTCTCACTATATTGCCTGGGCTGTTCTGAAACCCCTGGGCTCAAGCCATCATCCTGCCTCAGACTCCCAAAATGTTGGGATTACAGCCGTGAGCCACCATGCCTGGCCTTCCTGTAATCTTTTTTTAACAACCAGTAATCAATTTATTAAAATAGCTGACTTAAACACCTGCAATGGTAACTTCCACCTCAACTGGTCTGCTTAACAATCTCAGAAGGACTGTGCAAGTCAATGAGTCGCTTGTGGATTCCCATCTGGAAATGATCCCATATCTTAGAACCTTTATCACGGAGTTTTTCTTGTAGTGATCTCAAAGTCTTGGTAGACATTCAAACTGGTCCTTTCACTTTGAGATTCTTTTCCTTTGCTCTTCTGATCAAGTCAGCACACCCATTCTCCAGGGATTTTAAACTGTGGCTCGTAAGAGTGATTCGAATTTGGTGAATTGCCACCTCTGGCTCCACGGGTTTTTTTTAATATCCTTAAAAGCCCTGGCTGCTGTGCGGCTTCTGACCAACCTGTTCCTTGGGAGAGTGAACAGTGGTAAGCCAGGAGCAGGAGCGAGTGGATCCACAATCCACAACAACTAGGACCATGTCTTCCTCAAAGAGTTCCTATAATCTTTGTCTCAGCAAGTGGCACTAGTTGTTCAGGACAGAAACTATTTTTGCCTTCTCACTGTCCCTGTGAGTGTCATTATATTACAGATGAATCTAGGCTTTTGTTTGGGAAATGATGATACACTTATTGGAGAGCTCAGTAATTAGAGAGGATGCCCATTATGTTGCTAATACTCAACGTAGTACTCAAAAAAGGAAAAAGACATAAAACTTGGGGTTTTTTTTTAGATGGGTTCTTACTTGGTTGCCTGTGCTGGAGGGCAGTATGTGACACTGGCTCACTGCAATCTTCACCTCCCAGCTCAAGTAATCCTCCCATATCAGCTCTTAAATAAAGAAAAGACTTGAACAAAGACTCATAATACATCCTATTAAGATACCAGTTACCCTCAAAATTAATCTATAAATTTTATGCACATATTATAGTACAAAAATTAAAGTCTGGCCAGGTGCGGTGGTGTGCACCTGTAAACCCAGCACTTTGGGAGGCCAAGGCAGGTGGATCACTTGAGGTCAAGAGTTCGAGACCAGCCTGGCCAACATGGCAAAACTCCATCTCTACTAAAAGTACAAAACATTAGCTGGGCGTGGTGATGTGTACCTGTAGTCCCAGCTACATGGGAGGCTGAGGCAGGAGAATCACTTGAACCTGAGAGGCAGAGGTTGCAGTGAGCTGAGACTGCACCACTGCCCTCCAGCCTGGGTGACAGAGCAAGACTCTCAAAAAGCGAGACTCCTATGGTTAAAAAAAAAAAAAAGAAAAAAAAGGGAGACTCCTTCTCAAAAAAAGTTCTACATATTAAAAATCACCATAAGCAAAAAAAAAAAAAAAAAATCAATAGCAAAACTTCAACCCAAATTTCTCAGTTCTCTAATATATAGAGAGCTCCTACAAACGGTATGTAAAAGGCCAGCACAAACTTACAAATGGGCAAATAATATGAATCAGCATTCACAAGGAGGGGATAACTGAATGGCTAATAAGGTGCTCAGCACTATTAGTAATAAGAAAAAAACAGGTCGGGCACGGTGGCCTTGGGAGGCCGAGGCGGGTGGATCACGAGGTCAAGAGATCGAGACCATCCTGGTCAACATGGTGAAACCCCGTCTCTACTAAAAATACAAACAAAAAATTAGCTGGGCATGGTGGCGCGTGCCTGTAATCCCAGCTACTCAGGAGGCTGAGGCAGGAGAACTGCCTGAACCCAGGAGGTGGAGGTTGCGGTGAGCCGAGATCGCGCCATTACACTCCAGCCTGGGTAACAAGAGCGAAACTCCGTCTCAAAAAAGAAAAAAAAGAAAGAAAAAGAAAAAACACAGTAAGATAATGAGATAACAGTTTACATCAGTCAAATCGACTAGAATTATAAAGATAATACCAAGTCTTGCGAAATATGCAAAGGAAATAGAATCTCTTATTATACTGCAGTTCTGAGTATCAATTGGAACAGCCATTGTTAAGCACAATCAGGCAGGACTACAATGTACTATAGCTTCCTGTCTGCTCTTGGATGCATATATTCAAGTTAATAGAGGAACTTAGATACTAATCAATCTCCATTGTTACCATCTCTACTGACCTCCTGGTTTAGCTCCTGCCTTAAATCTTGGCTGTTGGCCAGGTGTGGCGGCTCATGCCTATAATCCCAGCACTTTAAGAGGCTTAGGCAGGCGGATTGCTTGGGTTCAGGAGTTTGAAATCAGCCTGGGCAACATGGTGAAACCCCATCACTACAAAAAAATACAATGATAATAATAACCTAGCCGAGTGTGGTGGTGCGAGCCTGTAGTCCCAGCTACTCAGAAGGCTGAAGTAGGAGGATGGCTTGAGCAGGAAAGGGGAGGCTGTAGTGAGCCCTGCTCACGCCTCTGCACTCCAGCTTGGGCAACAAAGCCAGACCTTATTTGAAAAACAAAAATACGATCTTTGCTATTTACTGAACTCGTCTCCGGCAAATTTGACTTCCAATCTATAGTAGATGACTCCCTCAGTCATATCCTGAACCAACAACTGCAACCTCTCCATAACCTCATTTATGCAGCATATAAAAATGCACCACCTTGTCTTTCTGGCTTACTCCCTCAACCCCAGCTGAGATCCCACCAAGATCAGCAGTCCACTGAACTATGGGTACACTTGTTTGGTGGCAGAGTTGGATTTAGTCAGGGTTGTGGTTTGGCCAACAAAGTGCTCCAAGGAACCTGCCCGGTATTTGACTATGGGATTCACATTAGTTGAATAAGGGTGGACACATGAAGTGACTGAAAGTGTGAAAATGTGATAGGATCAATGGACTGGTGATCTCAGTTCGAACCAAGGATAACGTCTCTGCATGTCTGTGTCTTGCTTTGGCACAGATACCCTCGGAGCTTTTTCAAGGAAAATGTTCCACAAATCTTCTCCTCTCCTTTTTGTGTCCCTAATTTTTGTCTTTGTTGGGTCATTCCCTTCAGCATGCAAACTTGCTGTTAATTCTCCCATTTTAGGGACCAGGTGCAGTGGCTCATGCTTGTAATTCCAGCCTCTTTTGGAGAGCTGAGGCTAGGAGGATCACTTGAGCCCAGGAGTTTAAGGCTGCTCAAGTCTGCAGTGAGCTGTGCTGGTGTCACTGCACTCCAACATGCACACCAGATGGAGACCCTGTCTCTAAAAACCAGAAAGAAAGAAAAAGAAAAAAATTATCCCATCTTGTTTCCTGTCGAGGCACAACACATTGCTTCTACTTTGTCTCTACTTCCCCTCCTTCCATTCTTCTATTTATTTATTTATTTTTAAAATTTATTTATTTATTTTTTTTTTATTTTATTTTTTAAAGATGGGGTTTCACCATGTTGGCAAGGCTGGTCTCAAACTCCTGACCTCAAGTGAGTCCACCTGCCTCCGCCTCCCAAAGTGCTGGGATTATAACGTGAGCCAAGGCCGACCCTTCTTTCATTCTTAAACCCCCTCCAGTCAGGTTTTTCATTCTATCACTTACCAAAACCACTAACCAGGGACCTCTGCTTAGTTAAATCCAGTCATCACTTATATTCTATTCATCGACCACCCCCTCCTTGAAAGGCTTTTTCCACTTGGTTTCCAGGACACCACAGACCCCCTAGTTTTGATTCTCAACGGTCTTTTTTGCTCTCCAATCTCTTTACAATGGACTGCCCCTAGGGCTCATTCTTGTTCCTCCTCTATTCTTAACCCTTAAGTTCCACTCATATACCAAAAGACCCAAAATTAACATCTGCAGTCCCCACCTCTCTCCAGAACTCCAAGCTCATCTATCCAACTGCAGACTCAACACTTCTACTTGGATGTCTACTAAGAATCTCCAGCTCAGCATATCCAGAAGAGAACTCCTGATCTTCCTTCCTAAACCTGTCTCCCACTCACAGTACAAGGCAATGCCATCCTTCCACTAGGTCAAAACACTTTGAAAGGCTCATACTCAATTGTCTGTCTTATACACCATACCCAATCCATCAGCATATCCAGCTGGTTCTCCCTGCTACTAACCTGGCCCAATCTACCATCATCTCTTGTCTGGATTACTACTGCAGCCTCCCAGTCTCTGTACATCCACAGTCTACCCTTGACACAACAGCCAGAGTGGTTTTTTCAAATAGAGATCATGCAGGGCTAGCTGTAAGATCTTTTAGGTTGACTGGCAGTGCAATGGACGCCATGTTAACCTCTGTGACCTGCACGGACACTCCAGATGAGTTCCTGGAAAATCTAAGTAACTGGAAGACCAAAGAAAATGATCAACCCCTGCAAAGGCACCTACTTAACATTGAGATATTATCTATTGTTCCTTATTCCCACCCTCATTGATCAAGCCACAGAACTTTATAACCGACTTTGGCCAACCCCTGTGACCCCCTCCCAGCTTGCAAAACACTGCCAACTGTAACTTCTGTAACTTTCCACTGCCCACTCCAAACCTATAAAACCAACTCCTATCCCACTGCCTTCAATAACACCCTTTTTCCAGCCTCAGCCCGCCTGCACCCAGGTGAATAAACAGCCATGTTGTTCACACAAAGCCTGTTTGAGGGGTCTCTTCCTTCAGCAGGTGCATTTTAACACTAGTCACATAATTTGTAGGGTCCAGTAAAGAAAACATGGGGCTCCTTGTTGAAAAATTAAAAATTTCAAGACAATGATAGCAGAGTATTAAATCAAATACAGGCACCTAGGCAACTGCAAGGGTCACACACTCATGAAGCAGACCCTGAGAGCATGTCACTCCTCTAATCAATTTAGGAGGTAGGAGGATTGCTTGAGTCCCGGAGTTCAAGACCAGCCTGGGAAACATAGAGGGGACCTGCCCCACCCCACAATCTCTGCAAATAATAAAAAAGTTAGCCAGTGTGGTGCCCCATGCCTGTGGTTGCAGCTACTACTTTGAGGACTGAGGTCGGAACATTGCTTGAGTCTGGAGGTAATTGTGCTACTGCACTCCAGCCTGAGCAAAAGAGCGCATTTCAAAACCTTAAAACCATTCCTAAAACTCAAAGTCAACGCTGAAGTCCATAGAAGACAGGCATTCCTGCTCTCAACCACACCCTTCGGAGCTCTTTATTTACTGTCATAGAGCCTTACTGACCTCCTTACCACTTTCCCTTCAAATGCCCTCTAGGTGGCTGGGCGTGGTGACTCACGCCTGTAATCCTAGCACTTTGGGAGGCTGAGGTGGGTGGATCACCTGAGGTCAGGAATTCAAGACCAGTCCATCATGGTGAAACCCCATCTTTAAAAAAAAAAGATTTTTTATAAAAAAAAAAAAAGAATACCCTCTAGGTGCACTCCTCCACCCCCCACCTTTGTAGTCCCAGCTACTTGGAAAGATGAGGCAGGAGAATCGCTGGAACCTGGGAGGTGAAGGTTGCAGTGAGCCGAGACTACAACACTGCACTCCAGCCTGGAGACAGGGTGAGACTCCACATCTCAAAAAAAAAAAAAAAAAAGATACAGAGAATTGGCCTCAAGTAACTGTCGACTCTTTGCTCAAATATTATGTTCCCAATTAAGTTCAATCTTATTTAAAACTGTAGTTGTGGACGGGCGAGGTGCCTCATGCCTGTAATCCCAGCACTTTGGGAGGCCACGGCAGTCAGATCACTTGAGGTCAGAAATTTAAGACCAGCCTGGCCAATATGGTGAAATCCTGTCTCTACTAAAAATATAAAAATTTGCTGGGTGGGGTGGCACATGCCTGTGATCCCAGCTACTCAGGAGCCTGAGGCAAGAGAATCACTTGAACTTGGGAGGTGGAGGGTGCAGTGAGCCGAGATTGTTCCACTGTGCCTGGGTGACAAGAGTGAGATTCCATGTCAAAACCAAAAAACTGTAGCTGCCACCACTGGCTCCCCCATTCCTAAGTCTACTTCTCCTGTTCTTTTTTTGTCTTGTTTTAATTTTTTTTTTTTAAGACGGGGTTTCACCATGTTGGTCAGGCTGGTCTTGATCTCCTGACCTCAGGTTATCTGCCCACCCTGGCCTCCAGAGTGCTTGGGTTACAGGCGTGAGAGACCATGCCCGGCCTACTTCTCCTGTTCTTTCGCCATCGCAGATTATCACATACTATATGATCTACCCTTTATTATGTGGATTATCTGTCTGCCCCAAGTAGAAGGTAAGGTTCCTTGTCTGTTTTGTTCACTGGGTATCATGAGTGTCTAGATCAGTGCCAGGTCAATTGGAGGTGCAAAATACATATTTATTGAATGAAGAAACATGTAAGAATGTGCACTAGCCCTGATTATGGTGGCAAAGAGTTGGAAGCAATCTAGGTGTAAAGAAAATTAAAATGTAAATTAAAATGTCTATCGGATATGCAGCCGATAGAATACTAACAATAATCATAAATAATGAACCAGGTCTAAATTTAGCAACCCAAAACAACAGCTCTCAAAACCAATGAGTGGAGAAAACAGACGTTAAATGGATTAGGGTTGGTAACGGGAGGGGTGGAGGTAGTGGAAGAAGGGGTGGAGACTTAAGGGGCAAAAGGAAGAGTTAAAGCCGGGGGCGGAGGCTCAGGCCTACAATCCCGGTCCTTTGGGAGGACGAGATTGGCCTGGACAACATGGTGAAACCCTGCCTCTACTAAAAATACAAAAATTAACAGGGCGTGGTGGCACTCGCCTGCAATCCAGCCTACTCGGGAGGCTGAGGCAAATCGCTTGATTCCGGGGGGCGGAGGTTGCAGTGAGCAGAGATGGCGCCACTGCACTCCAGCTTGGGCCACAGAGAGACTCCGTATTAAAAAAAAAAAAAAATTAGAAAAAAAAAAAAAGAAGAAGAAAATAAAGAGTTAATCCAAGGGCCTTGCCGGCAAAAAGGTACCAGGAATGTGAGGCGTGATTACCTCAACTCTCCACACCTGAGGTCCAAAGAAGAAAAAGAAAACCTAAAACATCTGATGGTCAACCAAGCATTCGGCAAGTCCGGAGAACTTCTAGACGTCAGGCAGTGTATCAGGAATACAGCCACGGACAAAGCGATTAGGCCTGTTTTTTTGAGACAGAAAAGGAACTGAAATATACAGTATGGCAAATGGCGACCAGCGCCATGGAGAAAAGACCCAGAAGAGGCCTTGGAACGTTCTAGGAGCCTGGCCGGTGACGTAGAGTTGAAAGCCTCGGTTTTTAGGTGAGACCAGCTGCCCTTGTGGCGCTTCCAATTAAGGCAAGAACGAACTCGCCCCCAACTCCCAAGTGGAGTTCGCGAGTGGGGGTGGGGCGGGGGCGGAGGACCTAAGCCTGGGCACCCCCCAAAAGCCTTCCCGGGAGGTGGGGGCGAAGGCTGGGGAGCGGCCCAGCCCCCACCGCACCCCACCCGCTACTCACGTTTCTGCTCAGCTAAGGGGAGGTGAGATGTGGTGAAGGCCAGAAAGAGCTCATTCCCCATGTCCCAGTCCAGCAGTCCCGGAACCTGGCCATGGAGGCTGGCCCAGAAGTCGAGGTGCTGGAGCTTCACGTCCACCTTCCGGGCAGGCAGAGGCACTGCGACGAGGAGTGGGGGTGTGGAGTGGGGTCGCGGCGGCTGAGGAGCGACCCTCGCAGGCGCCTCCTCAAATGCGCCGGCTCCTGTTGAGTGAGCTTGGCGGCAGCTCAGGTGTGGAGGGGCCCTTTTGACGCCTTTTATCTCCTCAGGACCGCTTCGAGGAACGCCTAAGAGGTCCCTCCTCAGCCCTGCCCCTTGCATGCTGGGGGTCAAGGACCTGGGGATCCGGAAGGGAGGTACCCCAGAGCATCTTCCGCATCCTCGTTTGTCCAAGCCCCTTGCCCCATATTTCATTGAAAAGGCGTCAAGGGCCCGTGATCGTATTTATTTATTTTGATAGTTTTGCTTTAATATTAACCCTTTCTACCCTAATACTACTAGTAGTTACTTTCTAGAGTTTCTGAAAGGTTTATGGCTTATCCACGATCACATCTGTAGTAGATGGTGGACATGGAAGTAGATTGGATGGCGATTTGATTAAAAAATTGTTTTTTTTGCCCGGGGTGGTGGCTCATGCCTGTAATCCCAGCACTCTGGGAGGCCGAAGTGGGCGGGTCACCTGAGGTCAGGAGTTTGAGACCAGCCTGACCGATGGTGAGACCCCCGTCTCTACTAAAAATACGAAAAATCAGTCGAGCATGGTAGTGGGCACCTGTAGTCCCAGCTAACTCGGGAGGGTGAGGCAGGAGAATCGCTTGACCCCTTGACCCCCAGGAGGCGGAGGTTGCAGTGAGCCGAGATCGAATCACTGCACCCCAGCCTGGGGGACAAGAGCGAGGCTCTGTCTCAAAGATGGATAAATAAAATTAAAATTGTGTTTTTAATAATTTCAGATTTGCAGAAAAATCCCAAGAATTCTATAAAAAATTCTTCTATACTTTTTCACCCAGATTCACTAATTACACCAATTGTTAACTTTATCACATTTATGTCTGTGTTTCCATATATACTGCATATATATTGTTTTGCTTAACGATTTGAGAGTAATTTGCGGGCATCATGTCCCTTGACCCATACATATTTCTGTATTTCCTAAAACAAGGATATTGTTTTATGTATCCAGAAAATCAGAAATCAGAAAATTTAAGATTGATTCAATGTTATATTTAACATACAGTTATTTCTCAAACTTTACCGATTGTCCCAACGATGTCATTTATCTAATTTTCTTTCTAGCCTAGGATCCCTTTCAGCATTATGCAATACATTTCATAGTCATGTCTCTTTACTCTCCATTAATCTGGAACAATTTCTCTCTCTTTTTTTTAAGCCAGTCAAATTTAGCAATAGGAGGTTGTATACCAACTTTAGTGACACAAATTTTATTAATAAGTTCTGATAACCCACTACCATTGGATAAGCCATCCTTACTTTTGTTTTTGAGACAGGGTTTCACTCTGTCACGATGGCTGGAATGCAGTGATACACTCACAGCTCACTGAAGCTTTGACTTCCCAGGCTCCAACAATCCTCCCACCTTAGCCTCCCAGGTACCTGGGACCACACAGGTGTGGGAAACCATGCCCAACTAGTTTTTGGTTGAGACAGGGTTTTGCCATGTTGCCCAGGCTGGGTCTCAAACTCCTGACCTCAAGTGATCCACCTGCCTCAGCCTCCCAAAGTGCTGTTATTACAGGCATGAGCCACCACACCTGGCCTCTCTGTCTTTATAATCTTTCATAACATTGACATTTTTGAAGAGCACAGGCCATTTATTTTGTAGAATGGCCCTCAGTTTGAGTTTGGCTAATGTCTCCTTATAATTAGAGAATGCATTTTTAGGAAGAATACCACAGAAGTGATTTTTTTTCTAATTTCTAGGTTCAAGTGTACATGTGCAGGTTTGCTATATATGTACTCATGTCACGGGGTTTTGTTGTACAGATTATTTCATCACTTAGGTACTAAACTAGTACCCAATGGTTATTTTTCTCTGCGCCTCTCCCTCCTATTTTCCACCCTCAAGTAGACCCCAGTGTCTGTGTGGTTCCCCTCTTTGTGTTCATGAGGTTTTTCTTTCTTTCTTTTTTTCTGCTATTGCCCAGGTTGGAGTGCAATGGCGTGATCTTGGGTCAACCTCCGCCTCCCGGGTTCAAGCGATTCTCCTGCCTCCCTGTTTCTTGCTCTTTATCTTTTTTTTCCTCTTTTTTTTTGTATTTTTATTTTGTGTGTGTGTTTATTTGTCTTTATTTTTTTGAGGCAGAGTCTCGCTCTGTTGCCTAAGGTGGAGTGCAATGGTGTGATCTTAGCCCACTGCAGCCTCTGCCTCCTGGGCTCAAACAATTCTTAAACATCTTTCAAGAACCTCTTTCCCAGCCTCTTTCTTTATTTTTTAAAAATATTTTATTACTCATGCCGGCTGTTGTGGCTCACACTTGTAATCCCAGCACTTTGGGAAGCCAAGACAGGCTGATTGCTTGAGGCCAGGAGTTTGAGACCAGCCTCGCCAACGTGGCAAAACCCTGTCTCTACTAAAAATACAAAGTTAGCCGAGGTGGTGGCGAGAGCCTATAGTCCCAGCTTACTTGGGGAGGCTGAGGGGCGAGAACTGCTTGAGTGTGGGAGGCTGAGGCTGCAGTGAGCCAAGATTGTACCACTGTACTCCAGCTTGGGTGACAGAGTGAGACTGTCTCAAAATAAATAAAAAAAATATTTTTATAAAAAGATCAAATATGGCCGGGCACAGTGGCTCAAGCCTGTAATCCCAGCACTTTGGGAGGCCGAGGCGGGTGGATCACAAGGTCAAGAGATCGAGACCATCCTGGTCAACATGGTGAAACCCCGTCTCTACTAAAAAAAAAAAAAAAAAAATACAAAAAATTAGCTGGGCATGGTGGCGCATTTCTGTAATCCCAGCTACTCAGGAGGCTGAGGTGGGAGAATTGCTTGAACCCAGAAGGCGGAGGTTGCGGTGAGCCAAGATCGCGCCATTGCACTCCAGCCTGGGTAACAAGAGCGAAACTCGGTCTCAAAAAAAAAAAAGAAAAGATAAAATATTTTAGTATTCATAAAATTTTAAATGTCTAAAAATAGAAAAGAATTTTACTTCTCTTTTTTTATAGAGGTATCTATATGTGTGCCACATTTTCTTTATCCAGTCTACCATTGATGGATACTTTCCATGTCTTTGCTATTGTGAATAGTGTTGCAATGAACATACGTGTGTGTGTGTGTCTTTTTTTCTTGAAATAAAGTCGCTTTGTTGCTCAGGCTGGAGTGCAGTGGCACGATCTTAGCTCACTGCAACCTCTGCCTCCTGGGTTCAAGTGATTCTCCTATCTCAGCCTCCTGAGTAGCTGGGATTACAGGTGCGTGCCACCATTCCTGGCTAATTTTTGTATTTTTAGTAGAGATGGAGTTTCACCATGTTGTTGAGGTTGGTCTCGAACTCCTGACCTTAAGTTATCCTCCTGCCTTGACCTTCCAAAGTGCTGGGATTACAGGTGCTAGCCAGTGAGCCTGGCCATGCATGTGTCTTTATGGTAGAGTGATTTATATTCCTTTGGGTAGATACCCGATAATGGGATTACTGGGTTGAATGGTAATTCTGGTTTTGTTTTTTTTTTTGAGACAGAGTAATCGCTCTGTAGCCCAGGCTGGAATGCAATGGCACAATCTCGGCTCACTGCAACCGCCTCCTGGGTTCAAGTGATTCTTCTGCCTCCGTCTCCCAAGTGGCTGGGACGTGCCACCATACGCAGTTAGTTAGTTTTTTGTATTTTAGTAGAGACAGGGTTTCACCATATTGGTCAGGATTGTCTTGATCACCTGACCTCCTGATTTGTCTGCCTCTCCCAAAGTGTTGGGATTACAGTGTGACCCACCCCACCCAATAATTCTGTTTTAAGTTCTTTGAGAAATCACCAAACTGCATTCCACAATGTCTCCAGTAACTTATATTCCTGCCAGTGGTATATAAGGCTTTCCTTTTGTCTACAACTTTGCCAGCATGTGTTATTTTCTGACTTTTTAATAATAGGCATTCTGGCCGGGCGCAGTGGCTCACGCCTGTAATCCCACCACTTTGGGAGGCCAAGGTGGGTGGATCAGCCTGACCAACATGGTGAAACCCTATCTCTACTAAAAATACAAAAATTAGCTGGGCGTGGTGACACACAGTGTAATCCTAGCTACTCAGGAGGCTGAGGCAGGAGAATCTTGAACCCAGGAGGTGGAGGTTGCAGTGAGCCGGAGATTGTGCCACTGTATTCCAGCTTGGGTGACAAAGTGAGTCTCCGTCTCAAAAAAAAAAAAAAAAAACATAGCTATTCTGACTGGTGTGAGATGGTATCTCATTGTGGTCAAAACCACATTGATCTGCATTTCTCTAATGATTAGCGGTGATGAGCATATTTTCATGTACATGTATGTCTTCTTTTGAAAGGCATCTCGTGCCTGTAATCTCACACTTTGGGAGTTGAGGCGGGTGGATCACCTGAGCTCAGGAGTTCAAGACCAACATATTCAACATGGCAAAACCCCATCTCTACAAAAACTATGCAAATTAGCTGAGCATGGTGGCATGCACCTGTAGGTCCAGCTATTAGGGAGACTGAGGTGGGAGTATTGCTTGAGCCTGGGAAGCAGAGGCTGTAGTGATTGGAGATTGCACCACTGCATTCCCGCATGGGTGACAGAGTGAGACCCTCATCTAAAGAGAAAAGAGAAAAGTGTTTTTGTCCTTTGTCCACATTTTTTTTTTTTTTTTTTGAGACAGAGTTTCACTCTTGTTACCCAGGCTGGAGTGCAATGGGACAATCTTGGCTCACCGCAACCTCCACCTCCCGGGTTCAGGCAGTTCTCCTGCCTCAGACTCCTGAGTAGCTGGGACTACAGGCACGTGCCACCATGCCCAGCTAATTTTTTGTATTTTTAGTAGAGACGGGGTTTCACCGTGTTGACCAGGATGGTCTCGATTTCTTGACCTCGTGATCCACCCGCCTCGGCCTCCCAAAGTGCTGGGATTACAGGCTTGAGCCACCGCGCCCGGCTTTTGTCCACTTTTTAATGGGCTTATTTTTTGCTTGTGAATTTGTTTAAATTCCTTGTAGATTCTGGATATCAGAACTGTGTCAGGTGCGTATTTTCTCCCATTCTTTAGGTTGACTGTTTGCTCTGTTGATACTTTATTTTTCTGTGCAGAAGCTCTTAAATTGAATTAGATCCCACTTGTCAAATTCTGCCTTTGTTGCAATTGCTTTTGGTGTCTTCCTCGTGAAATGTTTGCTCAAGGCAATATTGCCTTGGCTG